AAGCAGTGGTATCAACGCAGAGTACTAGTAGAGAAGTCAACAGTAAAATAGCAAACAGTCTTGCATCTTTTGATTATGTTGTAAAGAAGACAGCACTCCTTTTCTATATATGCAAAAAATGCTTTGTAGCAGCATGCGCAGCTCCCATAGAGTTCAATCTACCGCTTTCCACTGATGAAAGATGTGTAGATCACCCCGCCCTTTTACAAACAGTTGCGAGCGAACATTGATGATGATAGTAAAATACTGGCTGATTATTGTTATCTATGACCTTGGGAACTGTTGCTAGGAGCTTTATGGGAGATAAAGATTTAGAGAGCTGTCATCAAAAAAGAAAGCTTTGCATATTAGTTCTTCCTGCTTGGGTATATGCGTCAACTCAGGAATGTTGAGATGGGAACGACGCCAAAAACGGGCGGTTTCATTGATCACGTGAAATTATTTTGGTACGTGAAAAACAGTTGTGAGACATTGGATCGGTTGTTTCAAAATTGTATGCGACGAGAATCTTTTCGTACCTGGTTCTATTGAAGATGGTTTTGAAATCCGGCCGTTACAGCAAACTTCTCAAAAATAGCACGATGGTCTCAGTTTGCTGAAGTTATAACACGCAAAAGTGTAAGGCACCTGCTTGGAGTATTTATCACGAGAAGCTTTGAAAGCTGACAATATAAAATAATTAAAAGAGTAAAGTACATGCAATATCAGCAGAACAATAAGTCGTTGCTCAAAGTTCTGACTTGCAGTAAAACATTTTTCACCCAAAATCTCTCGAGTCGTCAGCCTGCAGTTGCACATCAGATGCTGTTAGTTTTCGGCATTGTCTCACAAATTACACTACTTGAATTTTAGACCTGACTCCAATGGAAACCAAAATTTCACTAAGATAAGTTTCCGATTATGAGAGATAGCAAAATCGGTTCCTCATTGAGAATAAAAAACTCTGTGCAATCAGCTACACAAATAATGATTCATGAAGCTGTCTGTATCCTTGATCTTTATCCTGTTCAAAAGGCAGAACATATAAAAGAAGTTCCGCAGAAGGGGAAATCATTACATTTTCTTTCCCTTTCTCCTTAGTTCGTCTAATGCACCAATAATAATAGTTTCAGAATTTCAACAAAGTACCGCAAATTGAGGATTTCAAAGAAGATGCTGCAAATACTTATTCTTTCCGCCTTGTGCTTTGAAGTTCATGCGACTGTTACGTTAGAGGAGTGCTTAGACAAGGATAAAAAGGTATGTAGTTCAAAGAGTCAAAGACAGTGAATCGGCAAAATGGAGCCCTCTCTGATTTTGGTGATGTGAGGTAGTGGATTTGCAAGTACACTATAACCTCAACCGCACCTGCCAGTTCAGGCGCTTCAAAACTCCACCTACCCCGACCACTTCCCTTGGTTGGGCGGGGCGATGGAGTTCAAAGCATTTTTCAGGACTTAGCCCATGAGTTGGCAGCTGAGGGTTAGGCCAGACTGCGCGGCGTACGCGGCGTACGCTCCTATGATGAAATATGGAGCGTACGCTGCGTACGTCACGTGCGTCCGTACGCCGCGCAGTCTAGCTCAACACTGAGGTTGGGGCTAGTGTACTTGGGGGTCTACTACCTAACACAAAAATCAGAAAGGGGTCCAATTTGCCAATCCACTGCCTTCAAAAGCTTACCTCATTCTCACTGTCTTCTTAATTTGCAAAGATGTTAAGATCACGGTATCGAATTAGCTGAAACTTCATGAGCACTACTTTCCGATAAATGCCCTGTTAGAATCTTTTCATCTGACTCAGACTTCTATAATACGAAAATCTAAGATCATGTTAAGCATTTTGAAGCCTCGTGCTCCAGTGTCTTTAAAGCTTTTTGAAAAGTCGGTGGTTGGACCATTACCACAGGGATTTGTACAGAGTGTCCTCAAAAATGTGATTGCTTGATTGTTTGACTTGGCACCTTTGGCCCTATAGGCATAAAATTTTTCGAGAAGCATTAAGTACCATTTTGTAGAGCTCTTCTACTTAGATTTTCAGTACGGAGCGAATCACCAATCAGGGTGATTCTCTTCATTATTGTAGGGTCACGGTAGCATCTTGAAGGGAGTCTTTAGCCAATGACGGTTTATTTCGGCCTAGAAAGCAAACCAAACAACCTGAAAATTTCAAAACTAAGTCGACACCGAAGATGGAGTTTGCACTTCGTCGTGATGCTTTGTTCATAAGTCATGCCAAGTAAACTGCAGTAGCTGTTTTGCCAATACTCCCTAGAATTGCACCATCTCAAATGCTTAAATGATCTGCAAAAGTCGAGTAATGAACTCACCGCGCATGAGCACCCTGATGAACAGCTTTTCGAAATTTATAGATTTTTTTTTTGAGACGCGTGCAACCTACAGTGACCCTATAGGCAAAGTTCCTAATGTAGTTCACAGTGATGAAGAATGGTCGATGATCCGCTCCATACTGCAAATCTAAGTTGAAACCAGCTCTATAAAATGGCACCCAACACTTCAAGAAAGACTTCATGTTAGGAGAGTCATTAACGACCAAACAGTAGGCACATTTTTCGACACCTTGTGGTAGGTAGCACCACTTGCTACTCCCATTTTCTAACTTTTCCAAAACAAATCGAAAGAAATGTAGAGCTTTTACCAGGATTATACTACGATTTCATCTATGAGAGCGATTGTGAACGTCTTGCTAAGATGACTGCTCCAAGGACTTTCTGTACTGAAAAATATTTACTTCGGAAATCTGCAAACACTTGCTGCCACGCATTTGGTGCGCTAGCGGGTTCCCTACCTGTTCAATAGCCGTAGTCATTAACGAACCCAGTGGGTTCCGCTACTCCGAAAATGCAGTGCCATGAGTAGGATCATACTTCACGAGAAGTTCTACTAGCTTCGTGAATACCTGTATCGTGGGTTCAGGCTACCCTCCGCTGGAATGCCTAGACAAAAGGGGAAAAAGGCACCGAACTATGCAAGGCAGCGAGGGCTAGACTTAACAAGCTGATCACTGCGCGCCTCTGACTGTCGTGTTGCCGCGGTTTTACAGGCGAGGAAGCTAGGCTGTCCTCGTTGGTAGAGACGCATGCATGAGTTAAGCAAAACCATCCCAAAACGAACAATCAAAAAATACCTCAGGTTTCACGCGGAAATCAAAAAATGTTACTCGTGAGTGGCTTAAGTAGGTTTTTCAGGTTCCCCCCTCCCCCCTCCCCTCCCTCCCCCCCCCTCTCCCAGATTCAACGGCATTTTGGTGGAATCGGGAGGGAGAGTATGTCACGAAATGGCGAGCAAAAAGTTTAACTTTTCAAACCTTGTTTTGTAGTTCAAATATCGCCCTGCTGTTGTTCAAAAATGTACTCTCTCGTTTTGGAATACTTGAGTATATTTGAAATCTCTGCTAAACTGTATGAAAGGCAGAGTAATTAGCGCAGCCGCGGGCGAAATTAGTGCACGGAGCAGTGTAGAAGGGTTACGCCCCATTCAAATTACGCATTTAGTGCACTTAAAACAAAATATTCTTTGTGCATAGTTCGAATTTGTTGGATTGTTCATCGTCTGTTCCCCAGGAATGGTACCTATGGTAACATTCCTGGCTGATCAACCATACCTGCGACGGCCCACCATTTAGCACATATCTCTTCATGTGTGCCACAAGACTTCGAGTAGCATTCGAAGACGTATCATGTGAGAATACTGGAAATTGTATGGTGAATGAATAAGTTCGTGTTAGGGTGTCTGATTATTTCCCTACAGTTCATCTATTAAAATAGTGAAGTTGTGATCTGATAATGGTGTATTTCAGTATGCAGAGGAGGCTTTTGCATGCGAAGATGTGGCGACAGAAAAAGTCTGCAAAAAATTCTTTCCTGCGCCGTCAACAGCACCAACAGTAGGTGCAGATGTTGATAGACAGGAACAGTGCTGGAAGGTAGGTCGAAATTCTTTAATAGAGTTAGTCTAGTTACGTTGTTTCAAACGGTAAGAACAAGCTAGGATCGATAATCAAAGCCTCAAAAAAAGATGAAAAGAGCTTATGATATTATGAAAGAATAAGCACGTAACAAGGTGAGCTGTGCGCAATTCAGCTGATTTATCTACAAATGAACACTATTCTCGAGAGAACCTAAATGAGATGTGTATTGCAACTTGTAGTATCAAAAGCTACTGTCGAAGCTAGCATCGAATTTTGCGGAGATTCTTAGAGAGAAGAAGGCAAGCATATTCATACTGAACCATCTGAACCTCGCACTACATGTTGCAATGTTCATATCCAGAATAAAAACTTGCAGCTTCTTCCTTAAAAGCGCCGCGCGCATAAGAATGCTGTAGAGTCAACATGCATGATTAGTGTACCGTATATATCTTACATCAGATGACCATGGAAATGTAAATTTAGGGTTTGTCGAATTGACTCTTACAAGGGAAGGATACTTGGAGGGATACTTTGTCGAAGTGGCGTTTCTATATGAGATGTAAACAATCTAACAGAAAATGGAACGCTGATTCCAGATTTGCTTTCATTATCTGCAAAGTGCTTCTGTGAGGGAAGCTATGGAAATTTTGAAGCAAATTTGTGGCGGCTGCAATTGAATTATCAGAAACCGTAGCCCGTGAGTTTAAATGAGGAGTGATTACTGCCAAAGCACTTTGGACAATCAATACCTTCAGTCCAGTAAGCTTAAGTCATCACTTCTTTCGAGCGCTGGAAAGACCTGAATATCTGTATTAACCTTAGCCAAATCTTTGAATCAATGCCTTGAAAAATCCCACAGCTCCTTTCCAAGAAAGCTTTGCAGATATCAAAAACAGATTTCGAATCAGCGTTGCATGCTCTACAAAGTGGTAGTATTTCATATGAAAAAATCCATTTCGACAACGTATCCTCTCCTTGTTAGGCAAATGCTTCATTCGGGAGCATAGATAGCTGATTTTAATTTTTCTGATATTCTGAGAGGTTCTGCACTGAGTTTTGAGCTTTCAAATAGGAATTGAAATCGGGTTGTAAATCAAAGTGATCTTTGTTAGGTACAAAGGTTCTATCAGACCATGGACAATAATTTACTTTTGGATCCCTTAACGGATTTATTACAAGCAAGAAGAGATTATACGCTTCACGCGCTCATTTTTATTTTTCTGTGCATAGTCATATTGCAGTAAAAATCGAAGCCGTGGGTACTATAGCTTTCTTGCCACTTCTAACCGAACAAAATGCTCATTAGATGCCTCTATGCCAAAAATTGAATTGCTATAAAATAAATTTGTGTTCATGCCGTTCATTCAAAAATACAACAATAGAAACGCTCAGCTAAACTCTGCTCAGTCAAAAGAAGCAGGTTAAAAAACTTATAACACTGGCTGCTAATATTTTATGCAAACAGATTTTTTATGAGCAACAAAAAAAATCGAACTTCACTTCCTTTATCGCTTCATTGTACGCGGTGTACTGCGAAGCTTGCTACATGCTATCCTAGAGCAAAATTAAAAGCAATATAACCAAAAGCATGCTAATCCATTGCGAAACGGTGCGACAAACTTTTGTTCCAGGCTGGTACAAGTCGTATCTAATTTTTCTACTTGAAAACGTCTGAAGATACCAAGCAGATAGCTAGTAGAGAATGAGTTATGGGAGCGTTTATAAGACAGAAAATTGCATGAAGATAGCTTGACAAAATGATATCTTGCTTCTCTGTAAAAAAAAACATGTGCCCAGTTAGCTTGCAATGATTTGCCGTTTGAGTTCAAGCGATTCATCTTTTGTCCCATTTTCCGCCTGGAAAACAGTTTCTCAAAGATTCTGAGACAAAGTTTAGGGCTTGCAGGTTTACTATCTTTTTGCAATCTACAACTGTACAAAAGTCCATCTTTGGATGCTTCTGCATGATGAGCCTATGTACTATACTTAGGAAAAATCAAATTTTTTTCGCGTATTCGAATATCGAATGATATCCGAAAACCAAAAGCTTCGAATATTCGACTATCGAACATTATTCGAAAGCAGAAAATTTCAAATATTTGACTACCGAGTAGTATTCGGAAATGGGAGTTTCTGAGCATTCGGCTTTTGAAATGAAACTTGATATGCGAATGATATTCCAGCAGATTGAATGCAATGAGGTGACGCCTATGGGAGACCTAATCATTTGAGAATAAGTTGTTCCATACAAATAATTGGAATAGATTTTTTGTTACAGTTTATGATAGGAAACGGTGAGAAGCCAGAACTGTCACCGTATTCTTAAAAGAGACAAGTAAACTTTGTTCTCCATAGTACAGCACGAGTAGAAACACATCATCTTTTTAGTAGGCAGCAAAGCAACACCTCCTTAAATCTAAGAATGCTGTTCTACGTTGTTGTGCCTCATTATAAGCTGTGCGTGCTCAGCAGTCATTAGATCAACATCAGCTGGTTTCAGGGTGATACCAGTCCAGACGACGAAATAATAGCGGCTGCTATAGATTTATGCCCAAAGACGTGTGCATTATGCTGCAAGACGGCTGCTTTCGATTGCGAAGATGACGAAAGTAAGCACAACAGCAATGGTTCTCTAGCGGGAACACTGTGCATAAAAAGACACTCTTTTTGGCTGCGAATTTAAGGGATATTATGAGGTTTTGAATCCGAGAAAAGAAAATTTTTTTTTTCAAGAAATGTTTTAATTGAGAGTTTTGGCGAAATATATGTAAAGAACTTGCTAACCGGGATAGAAAGCATAAAAAGGGCATTTACTCAGTGGACGATTTCGTCCCTTCAAAATACCCCTTACTGTAGCAAAAGTGCATTCGCTAAGGAACTCCGCCGAAAACAGGTGACGCACTGATTTGATGGAAGGTATTATAAATGGTTTAATGTCAGTGAAAAAGGTACTGCACAGGCTTTGACTGCGTCAATTTGAAGAAGAAAAACCAGTGCAAGGATCCATGGAAGACACAGTTGAATCTTGTGGAGAAGTGTCCGAGGACGTGTGGATTGTGCGAAGAAAAGAATGGAGGTAATTTCTAACGTCGAACTCCAAGAAACATTACGGTTACAAGATACCTCATACTTTTCACTCTCTGTACGCTTCGAAGTTTTTATGTGCTTTATGAGTAGAATTACGCAACTCAAAAAATGACTGAACACCTACCTCACTCAAAAAGAAATTGTCGTCTTTTACCTTATTCATCACTACCTTTGTTGAATAAAAGAAGAAACTCCCACGCGTGAGTCAGGAAATCTCTCTCTTTGGACAAAATCGGTTTCGTTAGACCTGATTTTTATTGAAATTCAATAATTTTTATGGCAAATCATTAACATTCACTCTTGGACTTCCCCGGTACTTTTTTTGTGTGGCTCAGCTCTCCCCCCTGATATGGCCACATAGCATTAGCATACACGGTGAACAAACAGCAGCTACAAAGCAATTAAGAATTCAACTGTCTTCATAATACTTGGTGGAATGAGTGCTCAGATTCACTTTCTCACTCTCAGCTTGCGAAGATAAAGAGCCGAATTGCGACAAGGAGCAGTGTAAAAACACAGATTTCCAAGCAGCAATGAAGGTAAGTCAACTCAAATCGTTTATACAACGTATGATTACTACTAGAACCTTGACAAGTAGAGATATTCTGTAAACAACCAAACTTGGTGTGGAAGCATTAATAAGTTGGTGTACCCAGCGTTTTCTAGTTGCTTTTTATATAGTAAGCTTTCCTAGTTCCATGCATTTTAACTTTCACCTTGTTTGTTCAACTTCTTTTTTTCTAAATGATCCATGGGTTGCCTTTTTATAGGACAAAGCAAGCTAGGAGCACCATGGGAATTTCAGTCTATCATGACAAACCACATGACGTATGCTAAACAGAATATGCTCTTCTTGTGTGAACGTTAAGAGTGGAGAAAACTGCTTTTCCGTGAAAATGGAAAGCTGCTCTTTTTGGCAGAGGTAGCATTGATTTGAACTGCCCTAAAGGGAAAATAAGCTTCTTAAGCGTATCATTCTGCTGTATTCTCTCTTTTCCACAGCTTGTTTATCTATGGTGAAGACTGAGTGCAAACGACGTTTTATGTCGCGATACGTTTTTCTAGCGTATGTTTAGTGTTGCATATACCACACTGACACTAAAAACAATCAAAGAGTGGAAGTTTTGTAAATTTACTCTCCATATGCACTTCCAGGTAAACTGCAAAAAAACCTGCGGTTTTTGTGATGAACAAACAACCGCAGCTGCTGAAACCACCGCACCGGCAGAAACGACTAAACCGGCGCAAGAGACTACAATGGCTGGGAAAACGACAGCACCAGCGGGAACAGGTATTTTCTTTTCACTTCATTTCAAAGATATTCGTCTAAGGTAATTGAGGCCAATGAGAGTCATTTAGCTTGAGAGCTATATTCAATTAGCTGGCAAATCGGGCTCCGCTCGGCTCTGTGAACAATATATTCGTAATCAGCAAGCTCACTTACCCTCCGCCTCCGCCGGTAACTCACAGCCCCGTTGCTCTAAATTTTAAAAATTAATAGAATCGATATCGATCGGGACAAAAGGTAGCCTATGACGCCGGCCTCACCTCGAAGTGTATGTGTGCAAAGCTTGGTCCGGGTCGGTTCGGAAATAAAAATTTCTTTTTAGGACATGCACACAAAGAGACAAGCGTACTTTTAGCTTTGTATATGAGATATACCTTACGGGTCGCTAGTAATTGGGTGAGGGCAGATACTTTGAGAAATGCATATTTAAGAAGCAAGAATCTCTCTGCAGTGCTTTAAACTTTCATTCCTTCAAAATTCTGCCTTAACGCTACTTTTTTCAATGAAAAATGACTTTTCTTCACAGTTGCTCCAAGCAAGTCATTTATAATCTTTGGATAGTGAGCGCGAAACGCAGATGGATCTGATTAAGGCAAGTAAGGCTCTACTGCGCAGAACGTCAGACTTTTGCTTTACTCAAGACCGAAATTGAATGCTCGTTTTTCGCGCAAGAAAATGAATTTTCTACGCTCCCAAAAGCAGGTTTCTAATAACCTTTGTGAAATGAGAGAGGAAAGAAACATGAACCTTCCATGAAAGGCTTTACTTTGCGGACGTCAAGTATTACCTTTCCCTCTCATTACCTATTAGACCAAAATTAATTAAATGCTCAATATTCCCTACATTAGTTTTCTTCCGCAAATTTGGTCGAAAGAATAGAGTTTCCATGATTTCTAAAATTTAAAAGATAAACTTTCCAAAATGGGACTCTACTTTGCAAAACGTCAAGTTTTTACCTTCTTCAGAAAGCGAAACTGATCTGCTCACTTCTTCGCTAGAAAAATCAGATTTTTCAACACTGTTACCCTCAAGTTCAAACTTTTGATGAGTTTTGTTTAGATGCAATCGAGGTAGGCTGATTAGTCTTCTCGAATCTCTCCCTACCCCTCGAATCCAAATAGTTGGAACGCACAGTTTTTTGTTGAGGATTTAAAATATTTGCAAACTAGCCCAAAAATGTATTTTTATAGTTTTGCTGAAACTTGTGGCAAGAAATCCGATCACAAATGAGGCTCCGCTCCGCAGAACATCCGAAATTTACTGTTCTCGAAACTAGCATTGATGGAATCCTCAACTTCAGAACTATTTATTTTCAGCCAAATCTTTGAGAATTTTGTTGAGATGGGCGTGCAAGATGATTGATCTTCCCAAATTTATGCCCTCCCCCTTCGAGACTGAAAATGATGGATTGCTGTGTTTTTGTTAGAGCAGATTTTTCAGAAAACATGAGTGACTTTTTATAATTCCGTTTTATAATCCGAATAAGGTTGTTTCTCACGAATGTCGAGATGTACCCCCTTAGACTAACGTCGATGGACTACCCAGTTCTTTGTTTGAAAAATCGGATTTTTGAGGACTATACATTCAAAGCCAGATTTGTGATAAAATTTGTTGAGATGTGTGCTCAGGACGATTGTTCTTCCAAATCTTCACCCTCCTCACTCAAGACCTAATTTATGGAGTGCTCAGTTTTTTTTTGAATAATCAGAATTTTTCGCAAGCTAGCTCGAAAAATGAGTTTTTCATAGTTTATCTAAAACTTGTGCATGAAAAGAAAGAGGTTTCAAATGGAGGCTAAATAGGCTATGTGTAGAGTGAGGGTAACAGAAAGCCGTTAAGTGATATCAAAACCGTAAGCTGGTTTTGCAAGTGAAACTCTTTGAAAGAGAGTTCGATAGCTGGAGCGATTCCGTACACAACCATCTCAGCTACCACGGCACTTTGCTATCTCAATTTATAGCAAGAGCAGCAACAAAACTGATAAAGGTAGCCGATAGGTATTCGCTATTCTCAAAACCCCATGTTTTTGTGATCAGCATGCACACATACACGCCTGCGCTAATTCTTGGCTCTTAGCTCAAAATCAAAATTATCCGCTCCGCCCCGGAGCCCATAGTGCAAGCAAATCTCTCGCCGAAGTGGCTACTGGTCTGTCCTCTTGTCATCACTGAGCTCCGCATCCGGAATCCTTCAGCAACTGGACTCTCCTTCATGGGATCAAGGACGGGAGGGAAGCAGAAAACTCTGCCATAGCGCTTGGAAGACTCTACTGTATATTAGTAAGAGTTTGAAGATATTGGGTGATTGTAAAGCGTAGTACTGGAGGTCGCTATCGTTTATGTGAAAGTTGTGAGGGCTATGGCTCATTGATAGTTCTCTTGTTCCAGCGTCTTGCGGCAATTTAGTACCTTTTTGCAAATCTAACTTCAACTTAGACTGCACAGGGTGAATTGTCACTTTGTTACTGTGAAATTGCGGTAGAAAGCTTGTAAAAGGTGTAAAGAAAGAAGCGTTTGTTCTAAATGAAGAAGTAAAAAAGATGAAGTTTTTAGATCAGGATATAAAAGTTGCACTGAACCGATGCTTCGTTTATAGTCATCTGGTGCATGCTTGTGTTTAAGCAGTGAGATCAGCGCCTGAGAGCTTTGTTATGCCATTTCCCGAACTTCTCGTGATATTTCAAAGAAATTAAGGAAAATAAGTCAATCCCTTTGAGCTGTATAGTTAAAGAGAGCTTTAGCAGTGGTAGCTGAGGCGAATGGCGTAAGAAGCATATTAACCAGAGATATTACATCAAACAGCGTGCAGATTCATTGGGATACACTGTAGGTATCAAGAATTTATCTCTATCAATTTTAGAACCTACCACTACTCCTCTTTGCGGATCAGACCCGAGGCAAGCACTTAGAGCATCAGTTATGAACCTGATCAAAACAATTTCAGATGTGATAAATGGATACAGAATGGATTCTGCACGAATAACCTCTATCCCGACGAATACAAAGCGAAGTACTGCGGTAAAGCATGCGGAAAATGCTAGTAGAGAAGCCATTTTGATTCGACAGCTCGCTCATTGGTCGTAGGCTTGATATTGTTTAAAATTTACAAATAAATACTATTTTTGACTCATTCAAGGAACACATAGAGTATTAGATGATTGATTCGTGACGTTTTGGCCTTCCATGAAAGTAGCGTTTGTAAATCTTTCGTTGTAAGAAGCAAAATATATTGCGCTCAGAGTTAGTGTAACCAAGAAGCAGCAGCCACACTTCAGATGCGACTTGTTGATATTTGATCATCATGAGTCAGTTCAGAGCAACGTTTTTCGAGGCAAAAGTATTCTCTCAGCTGATGTGCAATGACTATACGTAGGAAGCTAAATCCACCTACAGGGCAACAAAAAAGGTGCACACATTGCTAAAAAGTGTATTCCTATGAGGTACTTCGCCGAAATTAGGTGTCAGTCTGTACAGTTGGCTTCAACTTAGACTTCCGAGTGATGCAAGACTCCTATCTTACTTACTATACTTATTATATACGGCGAGATCCTAAGAATCTACAGAACTTGCACAAGTTTCAATAGCTTTGAACAAAGATTATTGCTTCTGATGAATAAACTTTATGCACTTGATTATAGTGCTGATATTATTGAAAATGCATTTATAAAATGTCTCACTTTCAATAAATGTATTTTCCATAAGTATCCGGAACTTCATTCATTTAAAAACTCTAAACATTTTATAAAGTGCATAATTCAAAAACTTGATTTTTATGTCTCAGATCGTGGATCATAATTATTTTGCTCTACCAGAATGGTATATAAACCTTGAGGTATAAATACAGCAACACCCAAGGCCAAACCATTAGTCTTCCATTCAAGCCACTCTTCCCTACTGAAGAGCCTCGGGAGTGGTCTACTCTTCTTGATACCTGTATAGGGGTAGAGGCGAAACAGGCCATACTGTATATTATCAATGCTAACATTCTTCTATTACCTACTTACAAGGGAAGGATACTCGGTCCCGTGGCCATTTGGAATGCGATGTATACAGTAAGATGCACCTCAAAACGCTGATTCCAAATCTGCGCTCAATATCTGCGAAGCGATATTCTGAAGAAAGGAACTTTTTTCGTAGAAAATTTGCGTACTTTTGTATAGTCAAAATTGTCAGATTTGTTCTAAGTTACCATTTGAAGCTATTGAAGAGAATTTTGGAAGGAATACTATTGTATTATACCTATTTGAATCATATTCAGCATTTGAAAAAGAAAGAAAATTTTTATAGATGATTTTGACCCTCCGCAGTAACGCAGTTTATTCATGGAAAAATAATCATAACTCCATCCAGATTATCGTTTCGCAGATATGGATTCGAACCAACATTAAAAGGCGCATTTTTTGATATACAAATCATCATGAATGGCCGCGGTGACCAAGTATCCTTCTCTTGTCAGATTATTTAAATGGACCATCCTCACTGGCCGTCCGGGCCCCAACTTTTAGCCATCCGTCGCATCTTCGAGCAATCATATCCATGAACGTCTGACACGTATCTGCGATTGCTGGTTGATCCTGAGCTGATTAACTGCTAACGCAGCTGATTTACGCGGGCAACAAATACATCACGGTCTAAAACGTGGGCGTTTCGAAGCTCTTGGAATCCATTCCAATGTTCTTTTGTCCATCTGTCGTCTTCTCTTCCCTTTATATGTTCGCCCCACCTATGTTTGTTTTTCGATACCTACTCTGCTGGATCTTGTAGGCGCGAAAATTTCCTGAGGTCAAAGCTCTGAATCCCAAGTCAAAACTTATAAACTTCGTTATCTTCAGAAGCTTCCTCTGAGCGCCCTGTATGCTGATTGTAGCGCCTAGTTGCTGAAGTGTCAATCCAAGTTTCGGCTGCGTAGTACAGAGCTGTAAGAACTACACATCAAAATGCTGAGCAAGTAGGTCCAAGCAAGATGGTCTGTAACTTTTTTCAGTGGTCCGAATTCTGCCCATGCCGCTCTATATCTTCTGCTAAGTTTGTCATGAAGAGCATGAAAGTAGCGTTTGTAAATCTTTCGTTGTAAGAAGCAAAATATATTGCGCTCAGAGTTAGTGTAACCAAAAAGCAGCAGCAGCACACTTCAGATGCGATCTTGTTTAATATTTGATCACCTTGAGTCAGTTCAGAGCAACGTTTTTCAAGGCAAAAGTATTCTCTCAGCAGTGGCTATACGTATTAGGTTGGTAAGAAAGTTCTCGGACACTGCCTTAAGTTGTTTACAACGACTAAGTAATATTAAGCATCGAATTTGGTGTATAGTTCCGCGACATTGAAAAAATGTAAGTGTGACAAATTATGAAATATGAATAAATGAAGTTGTAAGTGTTTTCCTATTTCAGCTCGCTCTCGTGCAACCTGGGAGCACCCTGAGGTTGCGAGAGCAAACAAAGTCATGATATACCCAATTCCTCGCATAAATTTTTACACAGATCTATTCCTCAAACCAAGCTCTATCTATGAGTACTCACTTTAACCCAAATTTAGACTCTTCTGCTTTGCTACGGCATTTGAAGGTATTTGAAACATTCTTCTTTCTCGCCTTCTGTTGTTTTATTTCGAATTTTATGGTTTCTTCCACTTTTAGCCACTCATCGTTCGCTGGATTACAATCCGTAATTCTAATTCACAAGAGTTAGTAGAATTTCTTGTAATGTCAAAGGGGAGTCCGTTTCCAAGATTCTCAAATGCCACTTCGTACTGGGTTCTGGATATAACCTCTGAAAAGCTATGGCAACCACAGCTTTTCAGGGGTCGTGCCACATCCCATTAACTTAGGTTCAAAACAGGCATCAAGTCATATACGGTACGGATCCAAAACCTTGTTTTTTTTGTGAAAGTGATTAGAACTGAATTCGTTTTCTTTTGTTTGAGCTATATTTGCTGGAAGCACAATCACTGGGAGCCGGAAATGAGACAAACGGATTTTTGGCTATCTCCTAATTCCATAGTTTGATGGTTATTTGGGGCAGGATTCATAGGATAAACGAACATGGGTGATGTTTTGCATTGAGCACAAAAACAGGTAGCTAATTCACTTCAAAAATATAGTTAACCATGTTTGAACATGGCCACTTCACTTAAAGTGGCTCAGTATTCGGAACACTCAGATTCGCTAAAGCTTGGCCCACAGGAGTTATTTGACATGATAAACACGAATATATTACTAGTCATGCTTGGCGCACGTTACGTTATGCCTACGGTAGGTAGACGAAAATGGGGGGGGGGGTATCGAGACGGAAATTAGAGGGGGTCGCATCTAGTGGCTGTGTGCCACACCTCTTGCTCGACCCTGAGACGGACTGTCTTAGGTGTGGGAGAGGCAGGCTCGAAGTCGCCTCTGATAAATAAGCTCCGATCGCCCCTTGCGGGTTTTTTGAGCCCAACAAGCTATCCCTGCGAGTAAAATAATTTTTGGCATATTAAAATATGGAAAGCTCCTTTGATTTTGGGAAAGCCGCTGGCAAGGCAGCGCCAGTGGGAGGTCAGAGCCAAAGCGTACTAGGCTGCCGAACACGAGGCGGACAATGTTGACGATCTGTGCTTACAGCACAGGGAGGCTGGTATCGGATGCACCTATCGAAGATTTCATGATGCAAACAAGGAAGGTCAAGTATGACGTCATCGGACTGACCGAGACAAGAAGACGCCACCCTCGAGAACGCCACATTTGGTAGTATTATAGAAAAGAACTGTTCTTGGGAACATGCGACAGTCGAAGAGTAGGTGAAGTGGGAGTCCTTGTCAACACGAGTTTACTCATGGACATTGATTCCTTCAAACAGCTCACAACCCGAATAGGAAGATAACATCAAAATGTGGATCAAACCCTACCTTGACCGTCTTCATTGCGGACGCCCTAATATCAAGCTACGACAGGACGAGCTCGAGGCTTTTTATATAGACTTGAACAAGTACTGCAGAGGAGATCACACCTTCTACAAGAACATCGTCGGTGACTTCAACGCGAAGATCGGAGCTAGAATGTCGACTGCGGAACATCACATCGAATTCGTGGTTGACAGTGGAACGAAAAAGAGGAGAGACTGTCCAGGTTTATCATGACGACGAAGACTATCCATGGAAACCCGCAGTTCCAAAAAGTCTTTCCGACGCTGGACTTGAATCGTCCAGTGGAGAGAATCATAAGATTGACCACATCATCGTCAACAGATGGTATTGCCTAACGGATGTCGCTGTTGTTCCTCTACACATAATCGGACCATCGCCTTCTACGTTCCAAGTTCTACTTTACGTGGAATGGGGAGAGAGCCGTCAACTTCAGGAAGCGTCGTTCCATGAGTACTACCATCATTTGGGACCTGTTTTCTTCGATATCCAGCTCATGGCGAGATACCGTGATCGTTAGCATTGGCGAAGAACGCGAACGGTTCGTTCTGTAAATACTTTTACTCCGTCTAAGGGCAGGAACGAAACGGAGTTTTTGGTTATTTACACATTACATTAAAAAAACTTTACTTCTCATTATTATCTCCACGAATGTGCCAAGGAAGCTCAGTGTCTATGAATGAAAAGGCGTTTTACCGCGGAGACTTTGGAACTGATACGCCAAGGTGGAAGTGCACGAGCCGGATGCTTTTATCGGCTGACGTCCGAGTTTGCGAAGCGATGCAGAGAAGCGATAAAAGAAGACCTTAAAGGCAGCGTCCAGGCAAATCTGGACTTATGGGGCTCTCAAGTGGAAAGTAATGTTGAGGCCCTGAATAAAACTTTGCCCGAGCGGCAGCTCGGATAGTGCACTCACGGCTAAGATATTGGGCTCCGAACTATGCCCCGTGACCGTATTCGCATGGATTCGTGGCGCTTTCGCGCGAGGATCCACGCGAAATTGATGTGCCAAGCCATGATTCCATGCGAATACGGTCACGGGGCATAGTTCGGAGCCCAATATATTAGCCGTGAGTGCACTATCCGAGCTGCCGCTTGGATAAAGTCTTATTTAGGGCCTCAAGATTACTTTCCACGTGAGAGCCCCATAGTTCCTGGTTTGCCTGGACGCTGCCTTTAAGGAG